GGCCCCCGAGCCGCCGGGGACCCCCGAGCCCACGCTGCCCTACGAGGCCATCCCGCGCAGCGGGCGCAGCGCCTGGCTCAACCTGTACCGCGTCTGGAGGAGCGACGGCTTCCGCCGCTTCCACCACATCTTGCAGGGCAACTTCCAGCGCTACGGGCCCATCTACCGGTCAGCTCCGCGCCCCCCACCCAGCCCCGGACCCTCTGCCCCCGGCTCCTGCTCACCTGCCCCCAACCCCAGTGTAGCCGAGCTCCAGGCACCCCTGCCCCGTCCCCATCTCTGCTCCAGCTCCAGCTGGACAAGGCTCAAGGCACAGAGCCGGGGGAGACAACAGGGGACCCAAGCCCCGCACCCAGAGGTGCCCATGGGTCAGTGAGGCAGGGATGGGGGACCCCGGCAGAGCCCCCAGGCCGGAGCTGAGGCCGGCGCTGTGCCCGCAGGGAGACGGTGGGCACCTACGACTGCGTGAACGTGCTGCTGCCGCAGGACGCGGCCCAGCTCTTCCAGGCCGAGGGGATCTTCCCGCGGCGCATGGGCGTCGAGGCGTGGGTGGCGCACCGCCACCTGCGCAACCACAAGTGTGGCCTCTTCCTGCTGTAAGTGCCCCGGGGGTGCGGGGGGCAGGGGCACCGCTGACCCCGAGACTCGGTCTTGCAGCCTGGGGGTGGGCGGGGGGCTGGGGCTGGGCTGGCAGGGTGCACGTGTGCCCGCAGGAATGGGGAGGAGTGGCGTGCAGACCGGCTGGTGCTGAACAAGGAGGTGATCAGCCCCGCGGGCGCCCGCAAGTTCCTGCCCCTCCTCGACGCCGTGGCCCAAGACTTCACCGCCCTCATGCACCGGCGCGTCCAGCGCAGCCCGCGGCGCTCGCTCACCGTTGACCTCTACCACGACCTCTTCCGCTTCACCCTGGAGGGTACGTGGCACGGGAGGGCCTGGAGGGACGGGGCCGGACGGCTGGGTCCTGCCCTTTGCTGGGGGCAGCGCGGGGCAGCGGTTAGAGCCGGGAGCATTCAGGGACATGCCAGGCCTGAAGCCGCTGGGCGCAGCCGCGAGGGGCGGGGAAGGGGGCTCGGGACGAGGGCCCAGGCTGAGGCCCCGGCGTGGCGTGCCCGCAGCCAGCACCCACGCGCTGTACGGGGAGCGGCTGGGGCTGCTGGAGGAGAGCCCCAACGCAGAGTCGCAGCGCTTCATCGGCGCCGTGAAGACCATGCTGCAGACCACGCTGCCCCTGCTCTTCCTGCCCACCCGCCTGCTGCGCTGGGCCAACCACCGCCTGTGGCGCGAGCACATCCACGCCTGGGACACCATCTTCCAGCACGGTGAGCCAGGACCCTGACCCTCGGGGGAAGCCGGGTGGCTGCAGCACGCGTGGCGTGGCATGGTGTGGCAATGAGCTGCACCCCTCCCGTGCAGCACGTCCACCCCGCGGCTGGGGCATCTGCCCCGCGCCCACCCTGGGGCCGGTGGAGAGAGCCCAGAGATGGGGCTGGATGCCCGGGTGCTTCCCCTTCGCTTTGGGGCGGCATGCATGTGGGTGGGGGGTTGCAGTGGGGTCGGGGGCCCGGACGCCTGGGTTCAGTGCCGGGCCGGGGGGCACTCACGGTGCCCCTGCCCCGCAGCCGACAAGTGCATCCAGCACATCTACCAGGAGTTCTGCCTGGGGCAGCCGCACAAGTACTCGGGCATCATGGCCGAGCTGCTGCTGCAGGCCGAGCTCCCGCTCGACTCCATCAAGGCCAACATCACCGAGTTCACCGCCGGCGGCGTGGACACGGTAAGGACGCGGCTCCCCCATTTCCCCCTGTTCAGACTGGTGTGCACCGGGGGGCGGCTTGCCTTCCTCTGCAGCGAGGGCACGGCCGGGGCTCGGGCAGCAGCAGGACGTTGGCGGCCGCCCTGGATCCCGGGGGTGGGTGCGCCGCGCGGCTCTGAGGTCGGACGTGGGGTTTGTCTGGGCTGGTTTGGACGGGGCTGGGACTGTATGTGACCTTGGCACGTCCCTGCGGCTCTAATTCTGTGTCTGCCCCCGGTCCCCTGCCCCGTGCGCCCAGACGGCCGTGCCGTTGCTCTTCACCCTCTTCGAGCTGGCGCGCAACCCCAGCGTGCAGGCCGCCCTCCGGGACGAGATCGTGGCGGCCGAGGCCCAGGGCCCCCGGGAGCTCCCCAAGCTGCTCAACTCCCTGCCGCTGCTTAAGGCCGCCATCAAAGAGACCCTCCGGTGAGGGGCAACCCTGGGGCAGGGGGTGGCCGGACAGGCGGGAGCATGCCCGAGCGTGGAGCCGGCTCTTCCAGCCTGGGGGTGGCACAGCCCGGCCCCGGCTCCGCGGCAGGGCTGGAGCCGAGGGCTGGGGCAGGCTGAGCGGGAGGTCACGCTCTGGAGGGCGAGCCCCGAGCTGGGGGTGCAGGGCCTGGCCCCCCTGGGGCACGGCGCCAGCTGACAGCACCACTCGCTTGGCAGGCTGTACCCCGTGGGCATCACGGTGCAGCGCTACCCCACCAAGGACGTGGTGCTCCAGAACTACCGCGTGCCGGCGGGAGTGAGTCCCTGCCCCGGCTCCACCCACTCACCCACACTCCTCCCCCAGCTCAGGGCGGGAGCCCAGGCCTCCGGGCTCCCAGCTAAGGGCAAAACCCAAGCGTCCGGGCTCCCTGCCAGGGGTGGCACCGGGTGTGCACAGGTGGCACGTGCACCAGGGCTCTGCCTGAGCTCGAAGCCCCATTGGCTGCCGAGGAAAACGGCGGGGAGGGGGACGAGCCAACCGGCTGTCGGCATGCAAACGCGGGTGCCTGCCATTGGCTGCTGCCCCGCAGACCATGTGCCAGGTAGCTCTGTACGCCATGGGGCGCAGCCCGGCCGTGTTCGTGCAGCCCCTGCGCTACGCGCCCGAGCGCTGGCTGCGCAAGGACGACCACAGCTTCAAGGCGCTGGCCTTCGGCTTTTGCGGCCCCCCCGTGCGCCGCCAGTGCATCGGGCGCCGCTTCGCCGAGGCCGAGATGATGCTCTTCCTCATGCACGTGAGTGTGGCGGGGGGCCGGGCAGGCCGCAGCCCCCCACTGGCAAGCCCGAGCTGGGCTCCTCCCTGTGCTGCACCCTCAGCTTGGGGCCGAGCGGGGTGGAGGGGGGTCTCCAGGGTCCGACCGGGTGCTCGGCGTGGGCCTCCCGCGGGCTCCAGGGCTTTTCCTTGGGGGGTTTCCCTTCTGGAGCGGGGGAAACCGGACCCCCAGCACAGAGGGGCAGGGGCAGAGGCTCACCCCCCGCACCTGCACGGCTCCAGATGCTGCGCAACTTCAAGGTGGACACGGTGTCCAAGGACGACATCAACACCGTCTGCGGCTTCACCCTCATGCCTGAGAAGCCCCCGCTGCTCACCTTCCGGCCCCTCGACTGAGCCGCCCCCCTGCCCCAGGACAGGAGGGTGCTGGGCTGCATGACGCAATAAAAAGAGACTTTGAGTGCAGCAGCTGGCGTGTTTGTGCTGGGGTGGGGGGCTCACATGCGTGTGCAAGTGCCCTCCTGCATGCACGTGGCAGGACACAGCAGGCCGCAGTCAGAAGCAGGCCTGAGCACCCCAGCCCACCCACCCCGGGCAAAGCTTGACCAGGGCAGAGCCTGCCAGGCCGACGGGGGCCAGGCTCCACGCCACGGATGCCCAGTATGAAGCAGAGCAGATTGGCTAGAAAACACCCGGTCTTTATTTCATAGCTGCCGGCAATGGGGCTGAACCGGTGCCAGACAGGCCAGGAGCCTGAGGGAGGGCCGCATCACAGGTGCCCCCAGACCCCTCCTCGGCATGCCCAGGGGAGCCTGAGGGAGGGCGGCACCATGGGCACCCCGAGGAGGGTCCGGGGGCTCCCGTGGTGGGCAGGCCACAGCCCTGGGGCAGGAAAGGCCTCGTGTTCCCCTGGGGCAGTCCAAGGTGTCACCCCAGGGGGCAAGTCAGGCGCTAGAAGAGCTGCAACAGGAACTCGGGCGCCCACTCCAGCGCGGTCTGGGTGACGGCCAGGGCCGCGGCGCCCAGCGTGGCCGAGAGCCCCCACAC